ACCTCACCCTCTGATCAGCAGGGCATGAACACGTGAAGAAACATCCCTCCACATCTGATAACCATCTCATAGCAACGATCGGATCCTGAACTCCATCAAAAGTGGGAGGCTTTTTATCGAAGCCTACTGAACCTCACGGAGACCTCCGCGCTGCTACCGCTGCGTAGCCGCCGCGCAGCCGGGAGAGCCATAGCGCTTTTCACCATGGCGGTCTTGATCGACCCAAACAACTCTGGCAGCTCAGCCCGAAACAATGCAGCAACCTCATCATGCAATCTCACGAATCCTCGCATCCAACTCATGCGTACTCATCTGGCTGACAACCTCGGGTTGTACAGACCCACCCGGAACTCCCTCTCCGGCTCCTGATCCTGACCCGGATCCACTCCCAGCGTGCCCTGAAATCTCCATACTGAAAATAAAACACCAAATCTCAGACATATTCCACTATCCCGGGAACCGGCTCTCATCCCAACCCTAGAGGTCATGGTTTCCCTGATACGCGTATGAGTCCGTGCTTTCAGTAGTACGGGCCCATACTACCTTCCACACCAACCCATATTTGTATGAAGTACTCCCACAACACCCTAGCGACACACATAACATCGCTCTATCCTCACAACTAGAGGAACACTAGAAATCTCTCACAAGGAACCCTAGGCTAGCAGGCATCATAAATCAGGCAACTCATCAATAAATCCTGAAGATCCCTAGCCTAGCTCTAGCATGCTGTTCTATTAAAGCTCAATAAAACAATTGTCATGTATGGTATTTTGGGGTTACTTACTGGCTCCGGCTGATCGTACCTCCGCGTCCTCCTTTACTTATTTTGAAAACCATTTTAAATTCTCTTTTTGAAAGCTCTCCTCGATTTGAGACTGGAGTCACACAAGTGTTCCTCCAATTCACTCAAACCAAGGCTCTGATACCAACTTGTAACATCCGAAAAATACAACCAATTTAAATTTTTCAAAACAACCTGATTTTCATTAAAATGTTTACAAAAAGGTTTTCAATACAAGTCATTAGAGTATTCCCAGAATCACATTGCTACAAAATCATGAGGAGCGGTACGATCGCGCCTTCGCCTTGCCACAGTCTCCTGAAGAACCTGAAAAACATTAAACCACAACTGTAAGCCCGAAAGCTTAGTGAGATACCCCCAAAATACCAACCACGTATACGCCCTTCCAGGCTACGACCTTCCGGTCCAAAACATATAAAACATACATAACATAACAGAACATAGAACAACCATGCATATCGGGTCTACCGTGTGACTGGTCCGCCGTATCGGGCCTTCAGTCCAACGGATCCATCCTCCGGGTCTAGTCATGTCCTTCGAGTCTACAGTGGGGTTGGTCCGCCCGCATCGGGCCTTCAACCCACCTGGTCCACTCTCTGAGTCTACAGTGTGACTGGTCCGCCCGCATCGGGCCTTCAGTCGGCCTGGTCCACTCTCCGAGCCTCGGCACGTCTGGTCCGCCCTCGTGGGGCCTACAGCCTATCCGGACCGCTCGCTGGGCCTTCGGAACAACCGGTCCGCCCTGGGTATCTTGGCCTACAGCACAAAGCAGGACCCGCCTCAACCCATCTCCAGTCCAAACAACCATGTGCACAAAACATACATTCATATAACAGTCATAGTCAACAAACCGAGCAAGCAGATCACATAGCATATCATTACCCTAACCGGGTTACCGACCTAACCGGTCACTAGCATAGCATCACTCTGTATATCGGGAAAACTGACCTTAACAAGGCCTCCTAGCATGTACCATCCTAGCTACCAGGATGCAGACACATCAAACAATAACATAATAACCATAACCGAATCTCAATACAATAAAGGGCCGGCCTTGGTGCCTTAGACCCTGTTGATATAGTGAGGATAACTCACCTCGAAACTGCCGGCTGAAAAGATAAGATCCCGCTGCTCCGAACTCTGGCACGAACTCCTCTACTAAACATCAAAACATACAACTCAATAAATACCCTTAATTACCAAAATACCCCTGGAAGACAACTGGTCAACCTTGGACGAGTCAAAGTCAACCCCTGACTGACCCTACTCGCCGAGTCATCCCGATGACTCGCCGAGTCCTTATGCTCAGAACTTCCCTCAATTAGCGACCCAACTCGCCGAGTCACCCCAAGACTCGTCGAGTCCAACAACTCTGAGTCCACTCGCACCCAACTCACCGAGTCATCCCTTGACTCACCGATTCATCGACTCAACCAGAAATATTGGGACTTCCTCGACAAGACTCGCCGAGTCCAAATGGACTCGTCGAGTCCAAGGCCATCTTCAACCTACTCGCCGAGTTGTTCTTCCAACTCGTCGAGTCCCAGGCCATCTTCAAGCAACTCGTCGAGTCCACCCATGTGACTCGTCGAGTACCACCGTTCTGAATCCATACAGAAGCATCTCAGGCCATGCAATTGATCCAAAACATAGATCCAACCTCCTACAATCCATCCATCACGTAAAGTGGCAAACTTTACGTGAATCTAACGAGATCTAAGCCATATTCACCTTAAAACCAAGGTTTGGGACATGGTGGCTTCACTAAGCACTCAAACACAGGAACTTTAATGCACTCTAGGCCTTCAATATTCCAGATCTGAGGTAGCAACCTCAGATCTATCCTCCAAACTCCAAAACATTCCAAGACATACTCCCCACAAACCCCAAAATGATGAAACTAGGAATGCACAGCCTAAGGACGAAGATATTACCTCCAAAAGATGCCTCAATAGCAGCCAAACTCGAATCCAAGCAAAGCCCTTTGATCCAAGCCACTTCTCCTTCAAGATCTCTTCAAACAACACCTCTCCAAGCTCTAATTTGCTCCACAAATGATCTCTCCACGAATTTAGGGTTTCTGGAACTCAAGGGGGGAATAAGGGAGGCTGTGGAGGAGTATAATGCTCTTTATATAGGGCTCAACCCCGAAAATTAGGGTTTTCTCCATACAGAACCTACTCGCCGAGTCCATCTAGGGACTCGCCGAGTAGGCCACTTGACACGCGACCATGACCGCGACCTGACTCGCCGAGTCATCCATGGACTCGCCGAGTCATCCTCTAAAACTTACACTTTCAGCCCTTCAACTCTACTCTTGCGATTCCGGGATGTTACAGTGTCATTTGCAGGCCAAAATGGGACACAGCCCGTGTTGCTCTCTGGAAGAATTTGGGACTTTTTTTCATGAACACGGCCCGTGTCATTTGCAGACCAAAATGGGACACGACCCGTGTTGCTCTCTGGAAGAATTTGAGACTTTTTTTCATGAACACGGCCCATGTCATTTGCAGGCCAAAATGGGACACGACCCGTGTTGCTCTCTGGAAGAATTTGGGACTTTTTTCATGAACACGGCCCGTGTTCCATTAAGGCTAAAATGGGACACGACCCGTGTTGCTCTCTGGGAAAATTTGGGACTTTTTGAATTTGAAAATTTTCCTCTCTTGGAAATGAAGTACTTTTCCACCCAAAGGTTCGTTCTTTTGGTTTGAAAACAATGACAAAACACATTTGGAACACTAAAAAAAATAATGCAAAGAACGAAATGTTTTAACGAAAAATGACGAAAATACCCCCGGGTTGCCTCCTGGTTAGCTGCCCTTGTTTTAGGTCATTGGCTCGACTTTGTCCCCCAGGTGTGATTCATTCTTGGTATGTGGGGTTCTCCAACTCGTCTACCTCTTCATTCTTCACCTCAAATCCTTCATAAAACGGCTTCAACCTGTGACCATTAACTTTGAATGTTTTACCCGTTTGCTTGCTCGTGACTTCCACTGCACCATGGTCAAACACCCTTGTGACCACGAAAGGACCGACCCATCTTGATCTTAACTTTCCTGAAATTAGCTTGAATCTCAACTGATAAAGCGACACCTTTTGTCCTTGTATAAAAGTCTTTCGGGAGATTGCTCTGTCATGATATCCTTTTGTTTTCTCCTTATAGATCATGTTACTTTCGTATGCATCATTCCGAATCTCCTCTAGCTCTTGGATATCCAGTTTCCTTTTATTTCCCACCTCATCTTCAGTCAAGTTGAATTTCTTTACCGCCCAAAAAGCTTTATGCTCAAGCTCAACTGGGAGATGGCATGCTTTACCAAACACAAGCCGATATGGGGACATAATAATGGGAGTTTTAAAAGCAATACGGTATGCCCATAAGGCATCATCTAGCCTCAAGCTCCAGTCTTTGCGGTTTGGGTTGACTGTTTTCTCCAAGATACTTTTGATTTGTCTGTTTGAGACTTCTGCTTGTCCATTGGTTTGGGGATGATAAGTTGTTGAGACTTTGTGTGTCACTCCATATCTCTTCAAAACAGCTTCTAGCATCCGATTGCAAAAATGGGTCCCGCGATCACTTATGAGCGCCTTTGGTGTGCCAAACTGTGAGAAAATCTGTACCTTAAGGAAATCAACCACAACTTTGGAATCATTAGTACAGGTGGCCTTAGCCTCCACCCATTTGGACACATAGTCCACTGCTAACAAAATATAAGAACAACCAAAAGAGGGCGGAAATGGTCCCGTAAAGTCAATGCCCCATACATCAAAATTTTCACATACTAGAATAGGGGTAAGGGGCATTTGATTTCTAGAGCTTAAGGACCCGGATTTTTGGCATTTTTCACAATGTGCACAAAGTACATATGAATCATGGAAAATAGAAGGCCAAAAGAATCCGCTGTCTAAAACTTTCCTAGCTGTCCTTTGGGGTCCAAAGTGACCGCCACAAGCATAAGAATGGCAAAAATTAAGGATAGATTGTACCTCTTTTTGCTCAACACACCTGCGAATTACTTGGTCCGCCAGTACTTCCAAAGGTGAGGTTCAT